CGATACCATAAGAATAGTATCGATACCACATGAATATGGTATCGTTACTACTGACCAAAATCACTTGATTTTGGCCTTTCAGACGAACGATATCGATAACCATCTAAAATAATCAAGAAGTACTCTACAGCTAGATGAAATTTAGAAATCCTCAATTTGGTGATAAGCGCCTCGAAAAATCACCTAAGAACCTACGAAAGGAAACATATTCCAAATGTTGAGCTACAAGCTCAGTGCCACACATATAACTTTACTATACCACATGCACCCATTAAATGCCTACTCAAGTTGGTATAGTCATGTGGTAACAAAATGCATCAAGCATGAATCACAAAAATCATTGTATACATTTGGAATACAAATTATAAGGGCATTGTCATACCATAACTAAATAGCCTTAGCATTGGTACAGAAATGCCTTAGCACTGATTTAGAAATATGGTAGCACTGATACTAAAGTGCCTTAGCACTTATGAGAATATATTCAAATATCTCACATACATAACATTGGACGTTCATCATACATTCAAGTAACTCGGTTGTCTTCATCATTTCTCGAGTATCAAAACTAAGCATAAGTCTTCTGTATTATTTATTGTTACGTTATTATGCTTATCACACAACATTAGGATTTTTACTATCAAGCTTATTAGAGAAGTCCTAGCGGTTCTCAAACCCTCCTAAATGCCTTGGCCAAACATTAGGCTTTTTGCCCAATTCAATACTTTGGTACCGATAATGATCCTTTCAATATCGATACTGATCCTTTAGTATTGATACCATCCTTTAGTACCAATACCAAAATTTGTCACTAGGTTCTAAAGAGCCTTTGGAGTAACGATACCCTTATGGGGGTACGAATACCACTCTATTAGAGTACTGATACCATCCTAGGTATCGATACATATTTTAGGTTTAATGTTTTAGGAAATTAATTCAATATCGGTACTACCTAAGTACCGATACCAAAATTGGGTATTGGAATTTGTAGCACAATGATGGTATCAATACCCTACCCTTTGTATTGATACCCCCAAGAATAGTATCGATACAACATGAACATGGTATTTACACTAGTGACCAAAAGCCACTGACTTTGGCCTTTCAAACGAATGATATTGGTATTGTTCATCTAATACTGATACCCCATCCCAGAAAACTCTTTTTTATGAAAAAGTGATCTCGCTAATACCCAAGTCCCGCAAATGTTATTTAAAGGTTATAAGAGGCTAAGGGAATTATAATATGTCATTTTCATGTATAAGAAACACCAAAACACCCCATTTCCCTCATGAACATTAATGCCCTGGAATGCACACATGTATTTATACAGGCAAACAAATCATACACAACAAACTACAAGTGGTATAGGTGAGTCAGGAGTGTGTTACCTTAATCCTAGATACTGAGAAAACACCTCAAATCACCCAAGCACAAGCTTCTTTTTGTTCTTAATCTTGGAGCTATCTCAAACTTCTATCACTAATCAAAAGCAATGAAATGAATTACTAACTTATTTAAGGGATTAAGGAGAGTAGAAAAATGTTTTAAACTCTTAGAAATAGATTAGGAACATCCTAAGATTCTAAAATCAAAACTTTTCTAAAACCCCTATCTTAGCCACCATGGCCAAAATTTGAGATGTTGGGTTATAATGGAAACTTTGGGGGAGGAAATTAAAAATCTTACCTTTATAATCCTAATCTAGACTTGTTGGATAATAAAGTTCTCACCTTTGGTCACACACAAAAAGAAGAAATAGAAGAAGGCAATGAGAGGAAGAAAATGGCAAATGGTGAAAAAATGAGGGAGGGAATTTTCAACTTTTCTTCCTTTTGATATCACCAAAACTTAAAACTTAATGTTATTTAACCTTTCAAAACTTTTAGGGTCAATTACTACTTTAGTCCTTCCTCTTATAGCCTCCATTCAAAAAAGCCTTTTTATCACCTTTTGGGCTCAACCCAAACCCAAATTCATGCTACACTTAACCCAATTGATTTCGTAAGGATATATCATAACATTCTAAGCCCAAGCGGTTTATTCGAAGCTACTAACATAGTTTTGGGGTGTTACACTAGTTTCAAATACTTTCACTAGTGCTTAAGAGGCTAATCTCGCTATTGCTCTTCTCAAGTTTTAAACTTAAAAATTATTTTTAATTTTTAAAAGAACCTTTTCGCATTAGTGGGGGAATGTTGGTATTGCTCAAGAGTGCAAGAGCATGTAAGGTCCCACATTGGGAAGAAAATCCCTTTGAAAGGGTATTTATAATACATATCATTTCATTCCTTGTTGAATGATAGATGATAAGGCCCTCACACATGCATGCCATGAGTGTCGTCGTTTGTTCGGTTGGTTCAATTCGATTCGTGGTTGTGGTAATATGTATTTTTGATACGTCCGCGCATGATCTATCTTTTTAGGAAAAAAATTGGAAGTAATTCTTTGGAATAATCTTTCGGAAAAGTGGAATACAAACGTTGAAAGGTAATTTTAGGTAAATTATTTTCCAAACGGTTTTAATATAGATAAGTTGATATTGTTAATTCACTGTTGGATGGAGCGATTTACGAGATTTATTTGCTGTAATATAATAGTTATTGCATCTGTTTATTTTTGTAGGTTGATTGATGGTATTCTACAATATATATCTAGATGTTTTTTGGGGTTAGATTGAGTTGTTTATAAGATCAGACAACATATTAATTCTTGTATTTATATCAGCAGTTATATAGAGTTTAATTACAATCGTTTGACCTGCTGTTATAACAACTATAATTTTAAAAGAATCTGGACATGTTTGAGGTCAGATTCAGCTAGTTACAATAAATTAATTACAACAATTTATCAATTGTTATTTGCAGAAATTAAAATAAAAAATTATAATGATTTTAATTTGGACGATTTTAACATCGTTTTCAAGCCTATAAATAGAAGATCATTCTCAACTTTCAAAAACATCAAAAGCAAATCATTTTACTCTCTTCAAATAACTCTCATTCCTCAAAATCTTTTCTGTCATCGTTTAAAAGAGGAGCAATACCATCCTTGTCCATTATGATCATCGGATGTACAAATATTCGGAAAGAGAGAGCGTGCTAATCTTGAAGGACGGCCGTATATTGCAGCGATTACACGTATCGAGACAAATGTATTTTTAAGGTAGTGATTAATACCACGACACGATTATTGATTATTTGATTATTTATTTTATATTATCCAATCAATACAAACAGTTTAGTTTTAAAGTTTCTATTTTTCCAACACCACCATTTGGTACTAACTTTCATCCCTTCTTAGTAAGAAAATGAAGTAGAAATCAACCTAGAGTTAGCGGCATAAAATGATAGATTTGTGAACAAGAAATACAAGTTTCTAATGTTCAAATCAATAGAAGTTGAAAATACGAAAGATTAAATTAACTAAATTCAAAATTAAATTAATAAAATATATAAATAAAAAGGAACAAATATGTTATTATAAAAATATAATGTATATATCATTAATAATGTATCTCGATATATGAATATGACATCTACCGGAACCGATATATTCTATATGTCATCTAATTGATCTAACTAATCAATATTTTTGTTCATTCTACCATAAAAAATTACATCCAAAGGCTTGGATTCTTAAACACATCACTTTTATTACAATAATGAAATTATAATTAACTTTTAGTTAAAATAATTAAATTTGATTTCTAACTATGCATATATTTTGCAAATTCTCATATATTTTTATGTCATTTGGTTAAAACTTATCATTAAACCAATTAAGTACTCGGTAAAGTGACATATTTTAATTTTCTATGGGTGACAAAATGGAAACGAAACGGAAACGGAAACACCCTTATAATTGATGCATGCTTAATAAATAAAAAAAGCCATAACGATAAAATTTTATTTCTAACTATGCATATATTTTGCGAATTCTTATATCTTTTTATGTCAATTTGGTCAAAATTTATTATTAAACCAATTAAGAAGTACTTGGTAAAGTGATTAAAATTTCAATTTCTATTGGGTGACAAAATGGAAACTGAAACATCCAAATAATTGATTTATCCTTAATAAAAAAATACAATGACAATTATTTTCAAATATTTGCATAATGTTTGTTTTTTTAAAATATCTTAATCCCTTCATGTTTTAATTTTTTATCAAAATATTTATATTGACAGAAAATTATTAATTATTAAAAGAAAATTATTAATTAATTAAAGATTAATACATACTGTTAACGTAATATTTTTTACATATATTTAATTGATACGTGACACATATTAAATTATTTCTTTGAGTAACATAATATATGTTACATTATCACTTTGAATTATATAATACATACCATATCATTATTTTAGATAACATGACATGTCACATCAATAATTAAATACATATAATATTGATACATCAACATGTGTTGACTTATAATCAATTAGTAATTTTCTTCCAATAAAGAATATTTTTTAAAAAATTAAAATATTAAAGGCTAAAATATTTTGAAAAATATAAAAATCAAAATGATCATTTATACAAAGAATAAACTTTATCATTATACCATAAAAAAACAGATGAAACAACTTGTATAACTGTTATAAATATAAGAAAATCCACAAAAATATTGATACAGCTAACAACATACTCGGAAATGCAGTGGTATAAAGTTCTCAACTGTGTGCTTCTATAACTAACAAAAGTAGTATCGATCACCATACATCACTAACTATTTTACAACATAGAATACAATAAGCGCACAATAAAAAGAATGGGAATAATAAGCTTTTCTGATTAAACAGCTCCCTATCTAAATGTTGATTTTTGTCTTTTATCTCCATTTTTCCTAGAAGATTTCAAGCAAAAATTTGAGGGAGATGTGTTTGCAGACATGTATTGAAACCAGATGCAGTGTTTCCTCGTACCTCGTTGGTTGAAATCAGCTTCTCGATCATGAAACCATGAATGTTAAATCCCGTTCGCCGCAAGACATGCGCTTTAGCCGCATTAATTTAGAGCAATGTATTCCAAAACGCATCATCTCCTTCACCACACCTTTCATGAACGATTTTTATCTTATCCACGGATTTGCAGATTCCGCTGTACCTCCAATCGAAGGATGCAACACAGACACTACCTGCTTGTGCCTTCCATTCACAATCTGCAGAACAGGAAACAAACCAGGTGTTAAAAAGGGAAGAACAAAATAGCATAGAGTTGTAAGCATTTAGAGAACTCTGTTTTCTGTTTATCATTCCTCATGGGAGTTCCATACAAGATTAAAGCATTACCCGGTGGAGTCCCACAGCACATATTCCTATCATCTATGTGCTCAACCTCGAGTCCGATAAACCATGACCCGAGGGACACATCTTCATTAGAACACTTATGCAAAATAGGCCTGCAATCAGTCAGAATCACTTGGAATATTAGTGATGCCTTTTTCAGACATTATTATTAGGGACAAAAACTGGAAAACCAAAGGTGAAATTCACTAGTCTGAGTTAACCATAAAGGCTAAGGATATAAATTTGATAAGAGCATTATAATGATCTTGGGCATTTCCATTTAGATCTACACTTTAAGGGCTTGAATGATCCCCAAATTTTAACAGAATAAGAAAACTTAAGTCAAAGGGATAAATGTAAGGCATTGCCAACCACAGACAAACAAGGACCGTGATAACAAAATCGGAACCCTTCATCGGGTAAAGTAATAAATAAACAAAGCACAGGCTACTTCAAGGCAAAAAACAAAGTTCTTACTGGTTTATGGAGATGTACGTTGCCAGATCCTTTGAAATTGCATATATCTGCCCAGTTGCATGTCGAAAGTATTTGTTCCCCTCTTCTCCGAATTTCCAGTACTCTGGTTCATGGTACTTGACATTCCTAACGAACAGAAACAAATGAAACAAAGGTTACATAAAAAAATTTGGAGGGAACAAAGCAAATTGAAAAGTTAAATTATGAACGATAAAAAGGTCACTGGGAAATTACTTTTGAGAAAGAACAGGTCCAGATTTCATGCACCCCATATAGACTCTGGGCTTGGATCGATGACGGCCAAGGGTTGTAGCTAGAATACCTATGAGAAAATATGCATGAGAAATTCAACATACAAATTTCGAAAAAACCAATATTTGTTCTTCGCCATTATGATGATGTGATAAACTGTTTATGATTACCAAAAGAGAAGCAAAGAGATGGCAAACCAACCAAGATTAACATGGACATCATCATCCACCTTGACATAGAATTCAGCATCCCATTTTGCAACTGCCATAGAAAAGAAAATTTTTGTTTTTGCGGATAACTCATGATATTCTTCAACGTGCTCCTGCTTTATAAGATTGAGACTGGATATTGGTAAGAAATGCCAATACATATAAGAATATCCAAAACTATTGCAGGAATGCTGCCTAACCAGTCTAAGGAAGTCCTTATGCTCTGCCTCCTCTGAATAAATAGCTCGATCTAAAATGCTGTTGGATGTTGCACTGGAACAAACACTGCAGATTCAACTTATGTCAGTTAAAATATTTACTCTAGTATTTTTGACCCAGATTGATCCCATCTTAACAATGTCCTTTTCTTAACATTATCAATTGATCCATATCAACTTCAGTCTCCCTAGGGTTTGTCACAATAAATATGCATATGAATTAAAAATAACAATCCGATCTTAAAGTTTTTTCTTTGAAATGATTTATCTATGGCCGATCATGAAGCGAATGACAATCCCCTTCCCGCGCTCCAACTGAATAAGTTTTTCCCCTGTTCAATCATAAACAAAGGAATTAATTCAAGATGATAAATACTAGGAAACTAATCAATATCAAAACCTCAAAAAAAAAAAAAAAAACTGAGGAAACTAAGAAACCTTGTGGCATCCACGTCTCCCGGACAGAATCACGCCTACTACTAAAAGCAGTGTTGATTCCAATGACCATGAACACTTTCTTCCTCGGTAGATCACATGCCAAGGTCGAGATTACTCTGGAGGCATCTGAATTCTCCATTTCCTGAGAACCACGTGAGGCAGCTAACTGCATTTCTAGCATTGCAACTGACTTGTCTAGAGATCTTTAAGGCCTCATGAAAGATCATAAATTACAATGATATTAGCTAAAATTAAAAAAAAAATCAATTTTAACTAAAATAAAGAGAACCCAAGTTTTTACTCACTGAATTGCTTCATGAGTTTTCAAAATTTCACCCATTACATCATTATGTTGTGCAGGCGTCTATGTAAACATAGTAAAATCTTTCTGTCAGAAACATAATTTTTGCTTTAAAAAACAGCAAAAAAAAGTAAATTCAGAAGTTTAACTGTGATAGTTGTAACAACCCGAGAATTTTTTTTAAATCGGTATAATTTGGTGAAATTTAGTGACTAAATTAAAATTTATGAAAATTTATAGGTCATATTAGAAGTGAAGGAAATTCAGGGACCAAGCCCTGAATTACTCCTTTTAGTGCCGGCAGGAAAGTTGATATATACGTATGAATGGTTTTCTGTTTTCAAAACATAAAACAATTGTGAAATTCCTCCTCCCGCACTCTACTTCAAAGCTCGATTCCGACGCCGTTCGACCTCCGACCGTCAAATTGAAACCACCATCGTGTTTATCTTCGACCCGTGACCAAAACCCACTAAACCAATTATAGCGAAACGCTGCCAAACGACGTGAATTTCGAGTCAAAGTCTCAATGTTTTTTTAGTACCACCGCCGGGAAAATCTTAAATTCATCTCCGATCGTTAATCGGTTTTCAACACCTCTCGTACCATCGTGTTCCTAGTGTCGTTCCGAGTCCGATGGTGTCCTCCTTGTCTCTGTGGGCGACGGCGCGTGAGGGAGGTGGAGCGGTCAAAGTTTCGATCGAAGTGATATCTAGCTCTCCACCGTTCAAAAATTTGAACCGAGGTTGGTAAGTGACTCAAAATAGCTTAAAAGAATTTTTGAAAATTTTTGCGGGAATTTTTGGAGGCTGGAGGCGGTCTCACGCGCCGCCCCTGCACGTGGGGAAGATTCGAACTGGGAGTTAATTGGTTGACCGGCTTGACCGGTCCAAACCGGTCTGACCCGACCCGTTGACCGACCCGAACCGTTGACCCGACCCGACCGGTGATATTCTGGGAAATATTTTAAAAAAGGTGACATTTTGGAATTATTTTGAAAAATGTGACATTCTGGGAATTATTTTGAAAAAGGTGACATTTTGGGAATTTTTGAATGTGGACTATTGAACCCCTTTGACCATAACTTTGACCGGCTTTAAATGGCCATTAAACGACCTTTGATTTTGTTTGAGTATACCTATTCTGATATTTTTCGACGTGCCGAATCCGTTTCCGAAGTCCGTTTTGCCAAATTCGAACCCGAAGGCCTCCAAATCATCCGTCAAACCCGTTGACTTTGATTTTGACCAAGAATTTTAATTTTCGAAAAGTCATACTTTATGTTTTTCGAAGTCTTGATTCCGATTCCGCAATCCGTTTGGTTAAATTAAGACTCGAAATCCTCCAAATTGATAGTCAAATCCGGAAAATGCTTATATACTTAAGAATTTTAGCTTTGATCAATTAAGTAAGACTTGGAGTTGATAAATTATTATTGTTTGAAGGTACAAGAGACTCTCCGGATCGTTCGACAGCTCGACCCAACTCTTCTAGATCAGTTAAACCACGTGTGCTAGTATTCACCCGTAAGACCCGTAAATTTTATGATTTTAGAGATTAATTATGTTACCCATTAGTAATATAGTGTTATTATAAATTAGGTTCGAAAACTGTAGCAGAGCGTGGTGAGACCAGCAATCAGTAGATCTACTATTTGAACCTATTATTGAGGTGTGTGTTCCCTATTTATTACTGAACTGTTTTATTTGTTTTAATATGTGGTACACTGAATTCTTTGGTTACTGTTTTATTGATGCACCGATTTAATATGATGGTTTATGGATTATGACCGCTATCTGATTTTGTTTTGAAATGGTATATGATTACCATGTTTATGAATTTATGGAATTTATGTCACGGTGCAATTGAATTTTTGGAATACGAATTTATAAAGTACAACTCTTATCAAGCTGGAAAATTTTACGGACCTAATGTGACTCTTAGGTAGGCTCTATAGCCCTGAGATCATTCTCAGGTAGGCCCTACGGCCCTAAGAGGTATTCTTAGGTAGGCCCCACAGCCCCAAAATCTATCTTGGGTAAGCTCTCAGGCCCTAAGATGTTCCCTTAGGGTAACTCTTTTATGAGATTTACTGCAGTATAATTTTATGAGATTTACTGGACTATGATTTGTTTAGTGTACCTATCATGATTTTATAGTAATGTTGGGACACACTGAGCCTAACTCATTTTTTGAAAATGTTTTTCCCTTTCAGATACTGTTAGTTAGATTCACTTGATTGAGCACTTGGAGGATTAACATATCTCTTGAAGTATATCGTATCGTAATGTTTTATCTTTTAAGTTGACATTATTTTGGTAACATGGGCCTTATTTTAATGTATTAGATTTTATAATGATTTCTCCTTTGCTATTTATATTTGGGTTATCGTAAATTTGGATTTTTATGACATGTTTAAATTAATTTGTTTTTCTTCATTATATTTATGAGATGTATTTTTATAGTATAAATTATTATAATTTCATAAACGTCATTTATAATGTGATTTTACCATGATTGAATAATGGTTTCGGAACAATATCTTTAAGAATCATGAATGTGATTCATTAGACTTAGTCTAAACGCATAGACCGGGTCTAGGGGGTTACATTTAATTTGTATCAGAGCTTTTGGTTTTTAAACTTCGAACTGTGTATGAGTCCAAATTAAAAATACGATTTTGAAATATTTTACAAAACCTGTTGCTAAGGCCATGTCTCAAAGTTTTTATGATTTTAATTGTGTTCGAGACTCCAAGTGCTTATCTAACCCTAAGTTTTATTTTCTGTAGTAAACTAGAGATCTACCAAAATGAGTGCTAGACGTGGACGTCGAACTAGCCGAGGGCGAGGTTGAGTGGCTAGATTTGCAGACCCGATCGACAAGATTCGAGTAGATCCCCCACCTCCGACAGGTGATCCTACTCCTACGACCCCGAAAAATTTACCTCCTGCTGCTGGGATTGTCATGACTACATCGATCAGGGGAGAAACCGATAGTGAGCCTGATTCTACCAGAGTTGCATTTGATAAGAATTTTGGTAGATAATTTTTACAGTTGATTCAAGGAGCAGTCAGAGCTGCTGGTACTGGATCCGAGGTAGCTATTTCTCAAACTCTGATCGCAAATGGGGTCAGGACTTTTGGAGGACAGCTTGGAGGAATTCCTACTGAAGTAGAAGATTGACTTCAATATACAGAAAGACGCATGATCAGTTGGGTTTGGACCCAACTAAGAGATATTTGGGGGCAGTAGCGATGTTAGATGGCAATGGCCACACCTGGTGGGAGTCAGTGACCAGTAGTGTTCCTATCGATCGTTTGACATGGGATTTCTTTAAGGAGCGCTTTCGGAGCCGATTCCTGGGTGAGCGTTACTTAGTCCAGAGACGACAGCAGTTTCAGGACTTGGTTCAGGGTGATATGACTGTTTCAGAGTATGAGATAGAGTTCTTAAAATTGTTAAAGTATGGAATCAGTCTGGTGCCTACCGAGAGAGATCGATGCCGTAAATTTGCCCTCGGACTCAGATACGAGCTACGTAGGCAGGTGGTGGCCCTTCAAGATGAGATTTTTGATGTGCTGGTGAGCAGAGCCAAGGATGCTGAGGAGATGGAGGCTTTAGCTTATGGTAGAGAGCGTGTTGATCAGGAACGATCTAGGAAATCTTTTGGCCCTACTGAATCATCCGCACAGTCCGGTAAGAGGACTCGTACTTCAGCCCCTCAAAGGAGCAATACATGCTTCAGGCCTGTGGCATCATCACCTTCAGCTGTTAGTAGAGGTGGTTCTTCGGTTCCGTTTCAAGTGCCTCATTGTGACTTTTGTGGTAAACGGCACACAGGAGAGTGTTATAGGAAGACCGAACATGTTTCCATTGTGGATTTAGTGGTCATTTTTGGAGGGATTGTCCTCAGCTAGCTTCGTCGAGCCGACCGCTTCCCAGACTCCTGTGCGTTCACAGACTACAGTACAGACACCAATTAGAGATCGTAGCCAAGTAAAGGCTCGTGGTTCAGCGTCCAGGACAGGCAGTAGAGCCCGACCTTAGTAGAATAGAGGGCCAACAGTTTCTGAGGCTAGACAACCAGCTTTGGTTTACGCCACTAGACTTCGAGATGACAGAGATGAGCCTGAGGT